TTCCTGCTGGCATTGGATGGTGACACAGATTTCTCACCAGGTTCTGTAAAAATCCTGCTTGATAGAATGAGAGATGAAAATGTCGGTGCAGCCTGTGGCAGAATCCATCCAATTGGAAATGGTGAGTATTGGCAAAAACATTAATTTTAATACATTCATTTATTTTTATTCATCATTGCTCTCATAAGCCTAAAGCCATATAATCTTCGTTGATAAAAGACAACGCTGCATCTTTCTGTTTAGCTTCTTCTAACCAGCATTGGACATATTTATTTTCCCTCATTCTGTTTGCATTTATCTCTTCTAAGGTCCTATGATATGGTATCAGAAGTTTGAGTATGCCATTGGTCACTGGCTCCAGAAAGCTGCTGAACATGTGTTTGGGTGTGTTCTGTGTAGTCCTGGTTGTTTCAGGTATGGGACTGTAACTTATTGTTTTTGTTAATGTGCTAAACATAATTTAATTTCTTGCTGAAACTATTTTGAAAATATACTATTTATGAATGATGCGTCTCTCTAGAAGAAAAAAAATAGTGTGTAAAGGGAAGGAAGTGAAGCACCAAAAAAAGATAAACATTTTTAAAAGCATGGTCCTCATATTTACAAGTACTCGTTGAAAGAGAAAAAAAAAGGCAGATGCTCAGGAACCGCTCTCCCATCATGTAGATGAGAGGCTAATGGAAATCAACATCCCTCTGAAGTGATTTTAAGCAAACAACTTTACTACCTGATATTGTAAAAACAAACTTCATTATTTATATAAAGGGATACAAATTTTATAGGATTACGGGCTCACCATTCAACTACACAAGAAAGACAATGTTGTTTCACAACACTAATTTGTTTTTTTTCATACGTCTTCCAGTTTGTTTCGTGCTGCAGCCCTTATGGACACAAATGTTATGAAAAAATACACACCTGAACCAACTGAGCCAAGTGACCATTTACAGTTTGATCAGGGTAGGTTGTCTGCTTGTCCTTAATGTTAGACTCACTGAGTGTGTCTTTTCCTCTTCTTGAGCTTTACAGATACTACACTTATTATAAAATGCAAATGTGATTTTTTTTCATTTGTTAACTACATTATATGTCATTTTATCCAAAAATTATCATCTGTATTACATAATTTTTGGCATCCTATTTGCTTGATCATTAAAAACTGAATATTATTTAGAGTTGATGGCAGTTAGTTTTAAAGTTTTATGCATTTATTTAAACATTGAAAAAATTACTTTAATATATATGTATGAAATCTTATATTACATCTAAAATTATTCTTTATAATTATACAACATAAGTCACACAAATTAAAAATTACCAATCAATTTACCATCAGTATCATCTTGATAGCAATGAAAAAACAGCAACAAATTTTAAGCTGAGACAGTGCAAAATTAAACTTTTCTATATTGGCTTATAACCATAGAAATAAAGTGACCAATCCGCTTTGATTTATTTATTTAACAACTAGAGAAAGGAAAGCAAGTTTAAAAGTTAAAAATTCTGGTACCACAGGTGAAGATAGGTGGCTGTGCATACTTCTTCTTCAGCAAGGCTACAGAATTGAATATGCTGCAGATGCCTGGACCTTTGCGCCTGAAGGGTTTTTTGAATTCTTCAACCAGCGTTGTCGCTGGATGCCCTCCACCATCGCCAACATTCTGGATTTGCTGGGGAGCACCTCAATGACAACAAAGAAGAACCCCAATATGAGCATTTTGTACATTTTGTTTCAGTGGCTGTTGATGCTAATGACAATGCTAGGACCTGGGACCATCCTCATGATGATTGCTGGTAAATATAATTACATCAGCCATCCCAAAACTGTGGTCATTGACTTTGGCCCTCCTAAAGTTTTCACATTCATACTTCAATAAGACATTCTTGAATTCTGAATATATTTTTAATGGTTTTTTCTAACTTAATCTATACAGTGTGATACTGCTTAAGGAATGTATGTCATTTTATCGCAACATAATTTTAAGGAAAGAAAATTCATATAAAAATAATGTTAAAAAATTTATCTTGACTTTGAAATCTAAAACTTCCTCACCCAAAAAATCTCAGATTATTTTTATTTTTATAAAATTTTATAAAAATTATCTCCCAGGTGCAGTGAAGCTAGTATTCAAGATGACATTAATAGAAAGCTATTTGTTTGCCACCATACCTGCCATGGCATTTACAGTCTCCTGTTTCTGGCTCACGACAAGGCTTCAACTAATATTTGCAGCAATCCTCAGCATCATCTACACATTTATTATGATGGTAGTATTTGTGGGTACCATTCAGACAGCTGCAAAAGGAGAACATATCCCATCCTAGTGTTATTGTGATTGTTCTTCTCTCTGGAATTTTCATTATTGCTGGCATCTGTCATCCTAAGGTACCGTATATATGTTCTTTTCCGACATTATAACTATTTTTAAATTTCTAGATATGACTATTTAGAATATATTTTGAGAAGGATTTAATTAAAATTGGCCCCTGTTAAAATAAAGTTCATTTTTAAGGGCATGCTAAGTTTTATTTTTAAGGCAGTTAATTCAAATTCTTTGTAATGACTTCATTACGTTTTAATATATATTTATTTACCATCACAAACAGAATGTAATAATTGTTTAAAATAGGAAATCTGGTGCCTGATACATCGTGTCCTCTACTTACTGACGATCCCCTCTGGTTATTTGCTGCTGGTCATTTTTTCAATCTGCAACCTGAATGATGTTTCATGGGGCACAAGAGAAGTGCCTACAAAGACCCAAAGATTGGAAATGGAGAGGAGAAAAAAAGAAAAAGAGGAAGAAAAGAAGAACAAGCCAAAGAAAGGTTTTCTGGCCAGGATATTCAACAGGGGAGAAGGTGAAACAGTTTTGTCAACCAGCAGGATTGTAACTCTGTGCAAGTTGGGGCACTTTTGCCCCTTGCATAAAGTTAATTGAAATGCATTAGTTTTGTATTGATATCTCGTACAATAAATGACACTTGAGAGAGGGAAGTGCCTATAGTTAAGATGATGTTTTATAAAAGTTAAACACACGATATTCATTGTTTTTACAATGCTGTTAATTTCAAAATTTAATTAAATTAAGAACATGCAGCAAGATCTTAAGAAGCTGAATTATTTTATTTTTAAAGGGGGATTCACAAGTTTTCCATGTTATTTGAAGATCCATCATCCATTGAAATGCATTTGANTGTATGAAATCTTATATTACATCTAAAATTATCCTTTATAATTATACAACATAAATAACACAAATTAAAAATTACCAATCAATTTACCATCAGTATCATCTCAATAGCAATGAAAAAACAGCAACAAATTTTAAGCTGAGACAGTGCAAAATTAAACTTTTCTATATTGGCTTATAACCATAGAAATAAAGTGACCAATCCGCTTTGATTTATTTATTTAACAACTAGAGAAAGGAAAGCAAGTTTGAAAGTTAAAAATTCTGGTACCACAGGTGAAGATAGGTGGCTGTGCATACTTCTTCTTCAGCAAGGCTACAGAATTGAATATGCTGCCGCTGCAGATGCCTGGACCTTTTCGCCTGAAGGGTTCTTTGAATTCTTCAACCAGCGTTGTCGCTGGATGCCCTCCACCATCGCTAACATTCTGGATTTTCTGGGGAGCGCCTCAATGACAACAAAGAAGAACCCCATTATGAGCATTTTGTACATTTTGTTTCAGTGGCTGTTGATGCTAATGACAATTCTAGGACCTGGGACCATCCTCATGATGATTGCTGGTAAATATAATTACATCAGCCATCCCAAAACTGTGGTCATTGACTTTGGCCCTCCTAAAGTTTTCACATTCATACTTCAATAAGACATTCTTGAATTCTGAATATGTTTTTAATGATTTTTTCTAACTTAATCTATACAGTGTGATACTGCTTAAGGAATGTATGTCATTTTATCGCAACATAATTTTAAGGAAAGAAAATGCATATAAAAATAATGTTAAAAAATTTATCTTGACATTGAAATCTAAAACTTCCTCACCCAAAAAATCTCAGATTATTTTTATAAAATTTTATAAAAATTATCTCCCAGGTGCAGTGAAGCTAGTATTCAAGATGACATTAATAGAAAGCTATTTGTTTGCCACCATACCTGCCATGGCATTTACAGTCTCCTGTTTCTGGCTCACGACAAGGCTTCAACTAATATTTGCAGCAATCCTCAGCATCATCTACACATTTATTATGATGGTAGTATTTGTGGGTACCATTCAGACAGCTGCAAAAGGAGAACATATCCCATCCTAGTGTTATTGTGATTGTTCTTCTCTCTGGAATTTTCATTATTGCTGGCATCTGTCATCCTAAGGTACCGTATATATGTTCTTTTCCGACATTATAACTATTTTTAAATTTCTAGATATGACTATTTAGAATATATTTTGAGAAGGATTTAATTAAAATTGGCCCCTGTTAAAATAAAGTTCATTTTTAAGGGCATGCTAAGTTTTATTTTTAAGGCAGTTAATTCAAATTCTTTGTAATGACTTCATTACGTTTTAATATATATTTATTTACCATCACAAACAGAATGTAATAATTTTTTAAAATAGGAAATCTGGTGCCTGATACATGGTGTCCTCTACTTACTGACGATCCCCTCTGGGTATTTGCTGCTGGTCATTTTTTCAATCTGCAACCTGAATGATGTTTCATGGGGCACAAGAGAAGTGCCTACAAAGACCCAAAGATTGGAAATGGAGAGGAGAAAAAAAGAAAAAGAGGAAGAAAAGAAGAACAAGCCAAAGAAAGGTTTTCTGGCCAGGATATTCAACAGGGGAGAAGGTGAAACAGTTTTGTCAACCAGCAGGATTGTAACTCTGTGCAAGTTGGGGCACTTTTGCCCCTTGCATAAAGTTAATTAAAATGCATTAGTTTTGTATTGATATCTCGTACAATAAATGACATTTGAGAGAGGGAAGTGCCTATAGTTAAGATGATGTTTTATAAAAGTTAAACACACGATATTCATTGTTTTTACAATGCTGTTAATTTCAAAATTTAATTAAATTAAGAACATGCAGCAAGATCTTAAGAAGCTGAATTATTTTATTTTTAAAGGGGGATTCACAAGCTTTCCATGTTATTTGAAGATCCATCATCCATTGAAATGCATTTGATCAAGCCACCTTTTTATTTGTGCCATCCTAAATCATCTCTATAAATATTTTATATACATTTTATCTCTACACGAGTTAAAGAGGTTATGGAATACTGAAAATAGTTCTTTAATTGTTATTTTGAATGTATTTGCAATTTATAATAATAGTACTCAAGCATATATTATATACACTAAAACTTATAATAATAATACTCATTAGATAAGACCCATGAAAGTGCACCTTCATTTTTTAATGTTATGTCTTATATTTACCAGAACACCTGAAAGAATGAACCAACCTGGTAAAAACTTTGATACCTGTACGTAACCAACAGACAAATCTTGTGACTGGTGAGATGTCTGACTAAACAGTCATTAACTTACTGAAAAGGATTGAGGAGAAACTAGCAGTAAGTAGTTTTATTTTAGATTTATTAAAAATTTCTGTGGTGCTTTGTAGGTATCCATCCTGGTTTAATGAAAAAAATTAACAATAAATTAATAATTTTAAAACATTTCTTCCCAAAATTGTATCACTCTACTTACCTGCGTAATGTAAAACATTTCTTCCCAAACTTGTATCACTCTACTTACCTGCGTAATGTAAAACATTTCTTCCCAAACTTGTATCACTCTACATACCTGCGTAATGAAATTTATTTACAATCTATGTCCTTGGAAGAAAAAATTTCATAATAATAATTATAGAATTAATTGCATTTTGATCTCTATTTTTAACCTTTAAAAACACCCTAACCCCTAACCTGGTAATTGAATGGGCCTACCATTTTCTGTCTACTAAATATCTAAATCAGTTAAATTTGTCTGTGTATTTTTGCGGTCAACGACTTCTTATTAGAAATGGATGCGTTTTTTTATGGTCCTTCTTCAGGTTTTCCCTAAATTTAAAAAAAAAAAATGTGTATACTGTGAACACTATTTAATCACAATTTATAAGCACTGTTGTGCCAAAGTTATATACTAATATTGATAAATTCATCCCACCCTGCCAGAAAATGGTTCCCACTGATGGCACTCTTGCACAGGTTGTTGTTGAGCAGCCTCACGGCAGCAAGCCTCAAATATCACGACACTCTTTTGATTTTCATCAAACCCTGCCCAAGACAATAGATGAGCCAGAGGTTGAGCTGCCTCACGGCAGCAAGCCTCAGACATCACGACACTCTTCTGACATTCATCAAACCCTGCCCAAGACAATAGAGGAGCCAGAAGTTGAGCTGCCTCAGAGCCCAGTAGCTGAACCAGCATTAGTAGCTGTCAAACCAGCAGAACCAGTAAGTTTTTCTGTAACATAACATCCATTTTGTATATATGTATATTTTGCTGCTGCAGCCCTACATCTGTGGTCTGCAAACTTTGTGTGTGTTCAAACTCTCTTACAAATTTTACCTGTAACAAATTTAATGGTAATAAAGTAAATTCTCCACTTGGTATTTTCATGTCGGCAAACTGTTTTTGATTATAGCTTAACCAGTAAAATGGATTTGTTTGTTCCCGCTACCAGGAAAGTATCCTTGGCTTTGCCTTTGTGGCTCTTCTGTTACTGCTTTTGATCTTGCAAATGATTGGAATGTTGATGCACCGCATGAGCACATTACAGCACCTTCTGGCCATCACAGAGATTAGAATAAGGTAGGACCCCAAGAAATGTTGCCAGTATGGCAATTCCTAAATGTTATTCATTAACAAAGCAAATTTAATTTATTTGTTATTCAATTTTAAATCTGCTTAAATTTTTATGTAATAAACTGTTGATGCTACTGAAAATATAATTTTAAAAAATGGCTCTAGACTCTTAGATGAACTTTCATAGCAACTTTTTTTTTTACTAATCAAGGAATTTTATTTTAGTGTTTTTATGGCCATGAAACTTCATCATTTCAAATAAGTTTTAAAAAAACTAAATTTTTTAAGCAGAAAGAATTGCAAGGATTTTTGTAATCTTTTCCTGGAAGCTGAACAAAAATTCAAACAATTCTTTTTAAACATGAATAATTGTTTATTTCTTTCATTTTACTAAATTTCATTCTGTGTCCTCAAAAGATTTAAATATCACTGCATAACTTTTTATCTGATAGGAAAGGTAAAAGGAAAGATGCATCCGTGGCACGAAACAGAGAAGATGCCATCAGGCAAATCAAAGCAGTTTTGCAGATTCCTTCCATGATTGATAATGGTGCTTTCACTACACCACCAGCTATAGCTGAGAAAAACAATAAACTTGGGGTCACTTTTATCGGGGCATCAAATAAAGGATCAGTTGGACTAGGTTAGTTTTTTCTGAGGCAATAAGGGAATGAAAGTTAATTGTATTAAAAGGGGAAAGTGTGCAAGGGGCTTTTAGGGGACTTTAGGAAGAAGAGTGGTACTTTTATTTTCACTCATTATTTTAAAGTTACACCCTAAAATTATGAAAATTTCTTGACTAGCATACATTTTGTAGACTCAAACACAAGCTATACCATATAGAAGGACCTCCTTTTGTGATAACAGCTGTCCTTTTTATCAGGCTGATCTATACTCACAGTTGGAAACTTCAGCCTTTTGTTTGCTAACAAACTGAAGAAAAACGGCAGATATATTCATTTAAAAGAAAACACTTTAAAATAACAATTAAAAACAAAGTTACCGCTTAAGGCCAACCATTAAAAATAAATCTGTGTTCATATCAACAGGCAAAGTGACCAATGATGAAAGGTTCACCAATGAACTGGGAAAGTCTTTGAAACATTTTGGAAATATAAGGAATTCCTCTAAAGAGGTCGTGCTGGACAGGAGGAATAAGGAAATCTTGTCAAGTGCACGGCAGCGTATGATGGGTGGTACAGTCAAGCAGAAGTGAGTTGTTTATTCATTCCTATTCTTGTTCTGTCCAATTTTTACTAGGGGGAGGCATTGCAGGGAGGTGCAGTTGGCTGCATCCCAGAAGGTTTGAGGCCTGCTGAAGGTTTATGTTGTTAACTTTGAGGGTGTCCTTACCACATCCCATATGCCAATGGTGTGGTCTTCCTCTGGTCCCAAAACCGGAGGGCCTGTGTTGTAGGCTTGTAATCCAGGCTGATTGACAGGTATTCTGACCAGATGGCTAAATTAATTAATTCATTGTAGGGCCATTTACTAGCTGACTTTTGTGGCACCAACCATTTGTCTTATATCCTGGTTCTGAATGTGGTCCCTTCTCCTTTTACCAGTTGACATCTCATCTCGCAGTGGAAGATTTATTTCCTCAAGAGTGGTATGCATTGTCCAGTTCTCGAGTCTGTTATGACATGTAACAAGTGCTTCTAATCAGACTGCTGCATGTTTGATTTAATTTTCAGCATTCATTATTTTATCAACCATGTTTGAGCTTATTGAAATGCACCTGAGACAGCAGACTTAATTAATGGTTGCAGCTTAGTTTTCCATAGATTTTCAAAAGATATTTTGTTTGCATCTCCATCTATATTTTTTAAGAAATTGTATAAAGGGAAAAACTATTTTTCCACTTTCAGGATTGATGAGATTGACCCAGACCTGGCTAAATCATTAAGACCTTTCCTGCCTCCTCGCGGCAGCAAGAACAACCCACCCAGTTTTATGCAGGCTAACAACTTTGGATTCACTACCAAAGAGCTACATGATGCAAACTTATCCACCTTGAATTTGATAGAGTCTTCAGAGCGAGCACGTGACTTTGAAGGTGTGGGCGCTATGGGTAGAACTCTGCTACAGAAAACTAAAATCATCAATGAAGTAGCTGATTCATTTAGCACTGGTTCTTCATCCTTACATTGGACTCTTCTTTCAAAAGAAGGGGAAACAAATCTACTACATGGATTTACCAAATGATTTGCCTTTTACCAGATCCCAATTTAAATTTCTCCATCCCTCATCTGTCCAACAACAAGGCTTTCATCCATTTATAGATTTTTGAAGACCCTCTATATTTAACAACAAAATTATAGATAAAGTAATATTTGTTCGTAATAGATTTATTTTAAGACTATGTAAATTATTTCAGCAACAACTTGTTAAACTCAAATCATATTGTGTTGAGAAGTAAACATTAATTTGTAATCATATGAAATGGAACTGACATTTTAAGAAAATGTAATAATATTTGAGACATATATTCTATAAGAAGCTTAAAAAATCTTATTTGATTTACTTAAAAATTTGTACGGTATCTAAAAATTTCCAAATATTTTTTTGTATGTTAAAAGTGCATATAGTTTATTTCACTTCAGTGCCTTCAGTCAGTGGTCTTAATTAGGCACTGGCTGGACAAGTGATTATTAATAACTACATGACAAAATACTGATGTACTAAACTAATATTACTTGCAGTCAGTAATTCAGTAAACACTCAGTTTACAACACATCAGGGATACTTTTTGTACTGCAAGTAATAAACAGTTGAAAAAATAAAGAATACGATAGTGCCTAAAGAGATTTTTATCAGAAGTGTTTCAAACTTTTCCCCCTATTATAATATATATATTATATGTTAAAAAATTATATGTTTTGATTAGAGTATTCAATATACGGATATATTAGGATAGATATATTTAAAGGCTAGTTACTCTAATCAAAACATATAATTTTATTGTTGTTGTGCCCCCTAGTCTACCATGTTGTTTGTTGTGGGAAGTCTAACTACTATGACAGTCATAGTAGATAACTCTGCTAGGGCTGAACTTCCTGATTATCGTGGGAAATTTACTAATAAAATAATTTTTTTAAAAAGCAGTTTGTCACCATATCAAAATAAAATCATTTATTCCAAAAATCATGCCTGCTATAGAAAGAAAAATAGCATTTATGGGATTTCGATCAGTTGGTAAGTTATAGTGTTATGTAGATACTTCGATGAAACAAGGGAAATGGCTGTCGGCGCCGAAAAATCCGAGTTTTTAATTTTCCGATGTGTGTGTCTATTTATTATTAAATTAGTTCTTTCCACATATATTTGAGTTCCATTTCCGGCCTTATAATTTGGAAGACATCTTGGCCTACATTTCTAGCCAGCTATTTTGCTTTTTTCAATCGACCTTTATTTTGAAAATCTTTGGTATATATAAGGCATCTTCGCATACAAAATTTTTTGTGAAATAATAAGATAAGGTCCTTTTTTATTAAATCTGTATGAGCATTAGATATTGATCTATATCTGTGCCAAGTTTCATTGATGTAGGTCGTGTCTCACGTTTGTTACACTTGTCACAGTGACCCATATCACCATAAGGTGGCTCAGCCTAATTTCGACATGGCGTGGGCCACGCC